ATAATGAGGAAATTATTATTTTGGCAGAATGGCCGAAATGTTAGACGTAAATTTAAAAAGCCGTACTAGGCTAGGTGGCCACTGGAGGACGCCACTACACTGGGATGGTTCATGTGGGAGCTGCCGTCCATACGGAGAAGAAGAAAAGGGCACAGGACAAAGGAACATGTTACTGTTCCAAGTTAGCCAATAGGCAATATAACAATATAACAACTTTGCGATACTATTGTAATATAACTAAATTAAAAATAAGCAATGTAACAACAATGTAACATTGTGAAACTATTGTAATATAAGAAAATTACCAATAAGCAATATAACAATAACGTAACATTGTGAAACTATTGTAATGTAACAAAATTACCCATAGGCAATGTAACATTGTAAAACAATTGTAATATAACAAAATTACCAATTAACAATGTAACAACAACATAACATTGCGATACATAGTAAGTTTGTTACGTAACAATTACATTTTTGTTACGTAACAAACTTATACTTATACACATAATTTCCTTCTCGCTCGTGTTACTAACCTCGGCTAGGTATATATATATATATAAACGAAGTTAAGACAGCGCACCATGTCCATTGGGCCTCAAACAGTATGCCTGATTATGGGAAAGTCAGAATACATATATGTATGATTTGCAGTGATGTAACCGATACATTTTTTTCAGTATCTAGGTACCGATACAGATACTCTCTGGTAGATGTATCTGGGTACAGATACAGATACATTCAAAAAGTATCTAAGTTACTTCCAGATACTATGTTAAAAAAACTTAAAAATTAAATGACAAAAAAAATTTTTTTGGACCTTATAAACAAGCGTGTTAACTATAAAATAAAACTGTTTTGATAAAATTGACGAAATATCCATGAAAAACGGAAATAAATTTTATATTTACGCGCCATATGAAAGATTAGTAAATCCATAGAGGGTGGGAAAAAGCGTTAAGCCGGATTTATAGATTGCCTTCCTTCCTTCTTTCCTTCCTCCCGTAAAAGATGAACAATACGAAAACAGTAGTTCAGTTTATAGATAAGGGTACGGGAGTCTATATACAGCACTACGGTTTTCGTATTGTTCATCTCTTACGGGAGATATCAAGAATATCCAATGTAGGTATATATCCTGGATATCCATAGAGTATATTCATTTTCCGTGTGGCCCACACGGTGTGGAGTTGCAATCAGGTTGGGTAAAATAAAATGTATCTTGTATCTAAGGATCTAGATACTTTCAAAAGGATCTAGATACTAAAGTAGATCCAGATTTTTTTAAGTATCTCGATACGTATCTAGGTACATAAAATGTATCTAGATCCAGTATCTAGATACATGTATCTCGATACATTACATCACTGATGATTTGATACGCTTTAGCGTAAACTGACGGGACTTTCTCATGTCGAGCATAATAACGTTGCAACGTAACAATGTTACATAACCGTAAAGGCCACTTAACTTGGTTTGCGAAAATGTAACGGCAACGCAACATTTTTACCTATTTGCAACCATCAGGTTATCTAACTGTAATGATTACGATTGTTGCATAACATTTTGGTTAATGTTACGTTACAGTTATGTTTCACTTTCATAACGGCAATGTAACATTGTAATCCATTAAAAAGTTATATAATAACAACATAACAATTTGAATGCATTTATGTAACGACAAGGTAACATTGTTATACAACAATGTTACTTAAAAAAGCGGAAAATAGGAAACTATTTGCTACCGTCAGGTTATGTAACTGTAATGTTACATATTACGAACGTTGCATAACATTTTGGTTAATGTTACGTTACAGTTATATTTCACTTTTATAACGGCAATGTAACATTGTAAGTTACATAACAACAACATAACAATTGGATAACGCTTATCGAAAAGGAACCAAGCGCCAAAAACTTTTTCTGGGCCAGCTGGTAAAATTATTTGTAAAGTAACTCATTTTTAATAATGCTCAAAAGGTTGATTATCATTTGAAACTTTCTTAAAAGGATTGAAAGGGTTCTCAAATCATTATTAATTTTTTGAGCAGCATTAAAAATGAGTTATTTTGCAAATAATTTTTTTTTACCTCAGAAAGAGTTTTTGGCCCTTGGTTCCTTTTTGATAAACATTATCCAATTATAATGCATTTATGTAACGACAACGTAACATTGTTATGTAACAATGTTACTTCAATAAGTGGGAAATAGGAACCTATTTGCAACAATCAGGTCATGTAACTGTAATGGGACACATCACAATCGTTAAATAACATTTTGGTTAATGTCACGTTACAATGTTGACCGGCCCATGGGAAAAAATCGTTTAAAAAAAAGACGATCGTCTGAAGAAGATCGTCTATTTTTAAACGATATCGCTTAATTTTTTAAACGATCTTTTGTAAAAAAGACGATCGTCTGAAGAAGATCGTCTACTTTCAAACGAAATCGTTTAATTATTTAAACGATCGTCTTTAATCGTCTAAAATAATAGCCGACCCTAAAGACGATCGTTTAAAGTGATAAACGATACAAAAGGCGATCGTCTAAAATAATAGTCGAAAAAAGACGATCGTTTTAATTAAAATTTTAATTTATAACTTAACCGATGAGAAAATATTTTTATTTTGTCATAATTATTAATTAAATTAATTAAAAAAATAATTCTAAAGGCGATACCTACCTACTTCGAATAATAGACAATTCCAAATATTCCAAAGTATATTTGAAATTCTTTATTATAATAGAGAAGAATTTCAAATATATATTTCGTCTGTACAGCCGACCGCCTAACCTACGCAACCGATTGAATCGTTTGAAAGTCGATCGTTTGAAAGACGATTGGACGAATTCGCGTCTAAAGGCGATCGTCTTTAGACGATTTTTTCTGGTAGCAATGATAAACGACATCTATGTCTATGGGGCGAACTCGTTAAATGTACATTTTGTATATATTTTGTCCAGGCAGGTCAATTTGAACGATTTTTTTTCCTTTGTGATAAAACAGTGTAATATACTGCAAAAAAATTCTATAAGTTTATAAATAACAAAAATAAACTTTAAAGAAATAAAACTTATAGGGTTAATCTGAAAAAGGGAAGGAACACAAGGAAGAAATGAAACATTGTCCTCCTCCTAACGCATCTTCCAGAAAGTTTTATGACACATTGCTTTTGACTTTTTCAAACGTTATTTTTCAGAAATACTGTTAAATGTAAATATCTTTCGGCATTTGTTTGGAATTTCTACTATCCTATAATACAAAAGGAAAATAAAAAACTTAACTTCTAAAACAAGAGTTGTATGTAGCGTTTTGTAAAAGTGTACGCAAATAAAACTTAAACGCAAATAAAACTTACCTTTAAAATATTTACAAAAAAATTCACACACTTTACACGTGCTCACTTGTTGTTGCGGAACTATCAAACATGTATACCCTCTAGAAATAACACGATAGTATCTCTATCTCGTGTCTCTAATTCGAAGCAGTCGGCATAGAAGACGACGTTAGGAAAAAGACAAGATTTTTGAATGTCAACTTTAATATTTTTTTCTGTTTAAACCACTTTGTAGAAAACTATTTTATTTTTATATACGAATAAAAGAACTTTCCATTGTTCAAAAATAATTTATTTTTTCAGAAGAAAGCTGCAAAAAAGAAGAATACAATAATTTAAATTAAAAAATCGCCTCTGGGGACAGTTAGGTTACAGGACATTTCACCTAGTTTTTCTGCCATATATAGAAACATAAAGTAATTAAAAAAAATACGATGGGTCCTAACAGGAAGGGGGCATTTAAATATAATAAATACAAAACTTATCAACAAAGGTCAAATGTACATTTAACGAAAATTTGCCATAGACCAAGATGCGAAATAAATAATGATGTTGAAAATTATAAGCAAAAATGTATTACAATCACAATAATTATACTTATATTATAATCTAATTTCACAATTTTTTTTAACTCTCTGCCCTCAGTGAATTTAAAAACCTGGGAATGTTGATTGACAAGAAGTTACCATAGAAAAGACACATAAAACAAATAGAAGAAAAGATTGGTTGGCTGTTTAAAAAGATGCAGTGCTAAAATCTGTGATAAATCAAAAATGCTGGTTTACCGGTCATTCATAGTCTCAGTTTAGATATCTGATTACTACATGGGGTTGTGCGTAACTTGTAATTTAAAAAAATACAAAGAACTAAAATCGGTATTTAACATAAACAATTACTTTCCCAGTAATGTACAAAACATTATAATAATTATTATAACTAAATTTAGTTAATAATTATAATTATTAGTAATTTAAAAAGACTAAAGACTTTAGAACTTAAGTTAATGTACAAAACATTATAATTAACTAATAATTATAATTATTAGTAATTTAAAAAGACTAAAGACTTTAGAACTTAAGTTAACTTTTAGGATAAAATACAAAAAACAATCCTTGAATTCACACAATGCTATCGAACACCACCAGTTGACGCGCGCGTTGCGAAAACCCGATGCTTCTTTAGCGTATTAACAAGAAAAATATTTAAAACATCTTTTAAACACATCCGGGGAGACTTTGGACAATAGCTATAGCTATTGGAATATATTCCTCTAGAGGAAGACTGGACAGTTTGTCCAAACTCTTCCCACATGATGTGGAACAAAAAAATGTTTACAATTTTAAAATATATATATAGCAACGAAATAAAGTAAGGATTTAACAAAAGATCCATGCTTTAATATATAGTAACTTATTATTATTTATCTATAACGGTCTGGGCAGAAGAGCTGTGAAATATTACATCAAATAAACTTTCACTGCCACTATTTGATACCTTATCAACTTGACGATCTGTAATAGTAGTAGGTACCTACCTGAAATTTGTACTGGATCCGCGAAATTTGAAAGTGTCCGTTGCCTCCCAGTGTCTAGACCCTCCCCGCTCACCCCTAGTATTAAAAAATAAAAACAAATACTAAAAATGATATTTAATAGATAGGTAAATTTATTACAAATTACTAAATAAATTAAAATATTTATTTAACTTTATTTACAGCTGTCTTGTATTTTTGGCGCCCTTTATAACATTTGATTTTTGCATCCTTTGCATATATTTTGCCAGAATAAAGCTCCTAAAAAATTTAAAAAATGTATAAATTCTGATATTTTAAAATTTCAAAATGGCAATTACCACATGTCGTAGTCCACAACTTACATTTTTATCTTCAGTAAAACGACGTAAAGCATGTTTCTTTACGCAAACAAGATCTTTCTCAACCATTTCTATTCTAATCCACCTTTCATTGGAGTCCCTTACATCCAAGTATCCACTGCCTTCAACTGTCAAATAATAAACATCCTCGGTTAAAATATGTTCATCAAATGTAGATGTTAAATCACTTCTGACAAATTCCGTGTGTTTCATTTCATAATTAAGTTCTTTTTCTTGTCGAAACTTTTGAAACTCATCTTGACCATTCATCTATTTTGTATAATATATTTGATTGGATAAATTTATTTAAATCATCACGGTTCTAAGAGCGTTTTTCAAATTTTTAAACTGATTTGGCTTCGGGTCAAACCCTTAACGATTTCTTTTTTAATTTTACGGTCCCACTACAAGAAATCTAACAGAAACCCTGAAGAACGTTTTCGTACCGTTATATTTTGAACACTCAAATTTAATTAAACGTTTAAACGTTCCTGTTTTGTTCTCTAATCATGATAACAAGCTATACAATCAGGCCCGTCTTAAGATATTCAGCGCCCGTGGGCTACCTACTAAAAATAATGCGGAAGGGTTATACAAGCTATACAAAAGTATCAGTACTATAAAAAGTTCATTTAATTTCTTATACTATTTTCTGTTTCATTTAGAACATCTTATTCTTTTATTTTAATAAAAATTGCCCCACTCAAAATGTTGCGCCCCGGGGCTATAGCCCATTTAGCCCTGTGGTTAGGGTGGCCCTGTATACAATACATAAACGTTACCCTAACACTTTTACGTTGTGATGACTGACATAAGAAATCTATCATACATATTATTTAGACAAAATTTGTGTTTTTAACATTTTTCTTAAAATAATAATAGTTTTATGTTATAGGTAAAAACTATTTTTTAGAACAAAATACAGTGTGAGTCATTTAACTTAAAACTATGAAATATCTCAGTTAGTATGCATTTTACGAAAAAATGTTTAAATTAAAAATTTAATGATTCGAGGAGGAAAATGAATCTGTACTAAAATTGGTCCTCATACTCTTCTCCTTAGAGGAGGAACAGGGGGTAACTTTAAAGTTTCCAATGGATTTTGATTACAGATTCGGATCATTCGACTAAAAATAGGCAGATTTTGTCTAAAACATTTTTTCATATTTTTAATAGATGGCGCTGTAATGAAAAAAAATCAATTTTGTTCGATTTTTCTTCTGTATACGATTCTCCAATAATTTTTGAATAAAATACTTGGTTTTATTTTTTAAATTTATTTATTTATTTTTTAAATTTTAATTAAATGGTGGCCTTCGACTTTAATGCATTTATTATCAGCTGGAAGCACAAGCATTTCTAATTCGCTTAATCATATTTTCACGGGTTGTTGGTACTTGTTGATACAAACGGTCTTTGAGATAGCACCACAAAAAGAAATCCGGCGAAGTAGGAGCAGGCCAACTAACCGGACCTGCTCTACCAATCCAGCAACCATTAAAATTACGATCAAGTACTTCACGAGCTAAGGCCGAATAGTGTGCTGGGCAACCATCATGTCTAAGTCGTCAAGTAATGTGGGCAGATTATTTTCCAAAATATCTCGGTACATTTCGCCATTTAAGTTCCCTTCAATGATGTAGGGACCGATAAGCTTGTTGCTATTCCACCCCACACCTTGACAGTCCAAAGACGCTGATGTTCAACTTGACGGAGCCAATACGGATTTTCAACACTCCAGTAATGCATGTTGTGCCGATTTACTGTTCCGTGGTTTGTAAAAGACGACTCGTCAGAGAACAGTACAGAACGGAAAAAATTTGGATTTTGTTGCATTTGTTCCAGTGCCCACTGACAAAAAATTACCCTATTTTAAAAATCCGTACCATGAAGTACCTGATGTAGCGAAATATGGCAAGGATGGTATTTATTTCGTTTTAATATTCTGCTAACACTGCTCTGGGATATCTCCAAACCTCTAGATAATTCTCGTGTGCTTGCATGAGGATTAGCGGCCGTTGCTGCTAATACATTAATTTCATTATTCCCACCTGTGACTGTTTCTCGACGAACTCTTTTTTTCGGTTGAACACTCCCGTTTGTAGTAAACTGCTTGACTGTACGGTGAAATGAAGTACGTGATCGATTTTTTCTGGAAAACGCTGAGCGTAGATATTAACAGCATCATCCACTGTTAAAAAATCCATTATGAATAACAGCTTAACGAAAGGAGGTCTTATTGTTTGCAAATTAATCTTCGAACTAAATTGATTAAATAATAATAATAATTATTATTTAACTAAATACCATTTTTTATACCTCAATTATGATTAAATTAATTAATTGACAAAATGTTTTTTTTAACCTTTAATGAGGTATTTTTATTAAAAATAGTACAATAATCCTTTAAATTAAAGGATTTAGTGCAGGTAAAAAGTGACCATGGTGCACACTTGATAATTATCACCAAATGAAATAATGTATAAAACTTAAACCAAAGAAACCTTAAATATTAGTTAAAAAATCGTGGGTACTTAAAAAAATCAGATTTAATTTAATATGATAATTATTTTCAAAAAAATGATATTTTTATAGAAAAATTATTGCAGAATCGTATAAGAAGAAAAATCGAACATAATTGATTTTTTTTCATTACAGCGCCATCTATTACAAATATGAAAAAATGTTTTTGACAAAATCGACCTATTTTTAGTCGAATGATCCGATTCTGCAATAAAAAATAGGATGTTCCATTGGAAATTTTAAAGTTACCCCCTGTTCCCCCTATAAAGAGGAGAGTATGAGAACCAATTTTAGTAATGATTGATTTCCCCCCTCGAATCATTTAATTTTTATTTTATACATTTTTTCGTAAAATGCATACTAACTGAGATATTTCAAAGTTTCAAGTTAAATGACTTACCCTGTATATAAATGCAAATTTAGATGCTCTATTAGATGTTAATGGTGGCCACCCATATCTGTTTCTTGTATATGTTAGATTTAAAAAATATGGTTTAAAATTAATCCAAAAATAATGTATCCTTCCGGCGTCAATCCAACGTTGGACCGACTTCGGCAACTGATAATCGATTTTCGACGTCGCGTCGGTTCAAAACCCGCTGCATAAGCAATACAACTCACTGCTGCTTACGCACGCTAGGTGGCGATGGCGATGGGTTACAATACTTAGTTGGAGGTGTGAGTCGGTGATGGCACAGCTGGATAATTGTCGATCGGGATAACGAGCAGAAGACTGTGGGGATACATATTAAACTCTTAGTTCATGCTATTTCACACAGACGAGCCGACTCACTATACCGACAAAGGCTCCACTCCGACCACGATAGACATTTTTATTCACAAAGGCGTTGGAACCCTGCATGATACCACGACGATAGACAAAATGGAATCTGATCATATACCAGTCTAAGCTACGATAAACTTTAATAAAGTAGTACCTTCTGCAAAGAAGGTATTCGACTAAAAACACACCAACTGGTATATGTTTAGAGCATATATAACAAGACTGACGACAATAACTAACGTTATTAATAGTCCTGAGGCCATGGAGAAGCAGGTTAGACTAATTGTGAACAACATCAAAGCTGCGAGACAGCTCACAACTCGCAAGAAAACAATTACGCCCTAAACTGGTCGTCTGCCTGCTGATATACTTGACCTCATAAAAAAGGAGAACACATATCTCAGATCTTTCAACAAGGCACAAGATAGCTACAATCAACTCAGGACTACAATAAAGCAACGAATTGACAAACACAGAAACATGGCATGGTATACCTTTTGGCCTCCCTCAAGACCATTGACAACTCCCTTTAGAAGGTCACTAAACGACTTAAAGGCGGCCAGACTCTTTAAGTTAAATCCATATATCTATTACTCTCCCCGGACAGTGCGCTTACGCCACAAAGCAAAGTGCTGCTTTACAAATCACTATTCGTCCCATCTTAACTTATGCTGCCCCAGTCTGGTGCGGCATATCTAAAACCCGACAAATGCACCTAAAACGACTGCAGATTATCGTACTATCACCCAAGCGCCACGATACACCACGATTGGGGAGATTCAAGACTAAGCAGAATGGTTACCACTTATACAACACATACAAGAACTCTCCAACAAATTTTTCACCACTAATATTAAGGCCTTACAACTCGCAATATTACCGTCATAAGGCACGAAAACCCTGACATTATTAAATACGGACTAATTTACAAAGACCTACCTGTGTACTTTAAAAGGAGATGATTTGTGTCGCCGCGGCAACTGGGTACAAACCTGCGCCATAGCGAGGCGTTAATCTCCAGAATAAGTAACTCGGAATCGACGTTTTTTGACGTTTTTGACACTTTTAAAATTTTCATAAAACAATAATAATAAAAAAAAATGTTCGCCAAAATATGCAAAGGAAACCAAGCCAAGCGGAACAATTATGTTGCGATTTGTACAATATGTCAACCATCGAACCCACTTGGGCCAACACAGCTATTTATGTTTTTCTATTTCGAGAATTGTACAACAAAAAGTCTGTGATATAATACCTATATGTTAGTTGTGTAATTATAATAGGAAAATAAAATAATTTTCTATGGGTTTAGAGGGTGTTAAAATATCGTGCCCTTAAGAGAAAACAAAACGAATTCTCTTTATCCATCCATTTATCTAGGAAATATTTAAAAATAAATAAAGATCAAATTTCTTGATATGCCAAACACTAAAACTCGAACTTGACTTGCCATTCATAATATTGTTTTTCTATTCCCACCTTTAAAACGCCCATTATCGTACTTCTTTACATTACACTAAGTGACCTTTTAAACACACATTGACAAGTTGTGGCTTTATGGCGCTTTAGTCAAGGGCTAAAGTTAGCAAGAGGTTTTCAGTCACGGGCTGAAGTTAGTTTTGAAGTTAGTTGACAGTTGTCAAATGTCATACAATCGTTAAAGTAAAGTGCTTTTCTTGTAAAATAATACTAAATGTGAAAATTATATTATTATCTTAATACAAAAATACAAAAGTATTAAATAGTTTCTCAACGTCAATATTTAAAAAGTTTATATGACCTGACCTTTTCATTTAAATTCACTGGCAGTAAATTAGATATAACTTAAATTCGGGCTCGCGAGTCCGCGGACTCCACCGTGAAATGCTCATAAAACATTTTCTTCACTTTCACTCTAAAAAACTGTTGTTAATCCATTTTGAGGGGTACATTTCGATTTATAACACAAAAATTTGACATTTGA